GGCAGTGGCAGAGGGCGCCGGCACCAAAGTTAGCGTCCATGGCGCGGGAAGCGCTCAAGGGAGAGAGGGTGTCGGTGAACGTTCGCACGCCCGGATGCTATCGGAGTCATGGGTTTGATGGGTCGGGGTTAGTCGTTTGGCGGTGTGGATCGTTCGCGAGGTCGAGCTCCCCGGGTCGCCGGGTCAGTGTTGTGGCAGCATCGGCATTGTGGATGTCGGGACAGTGGTAGTGAAGCTGGTGAGGTGGGTTTTATGGATAGAGGGAGAGTTTTTTAAGCGGATGATGTAATAGTGTGGTGATGATGTTGGGGGGAAAGAGTGTGGAGAAGGGAAGGGGAGTTGTGAGTGGTTGTAGGGGGGGGGGGGGGGGGGGCGTACTCTTATGTTTTGCATGCCTTAGCGGTTAGACCATTGACCACGCGTCCTCGAGAGGACGGAGCATTGTTCCCACAGGACCGATCACCGATGGCCAATCGTTCCTTCCTACTTTGCCAAAGGTGGCTCAAAAATGTCGTCCCTAGTCTATCTATCCTAACCGCATCCCTTCCCGCCTTTTCAAACCACTTCCTACTCCCCAGTACAGCTACCGTCCTCTCCTCTCTATTCCATGCCTCAAACATCTCCCTGTACGTACCTCCCTTGCATTTTCCCCGTTCATCTAGAGACACGTTCCACATGTGCTTTTTGCGTGCCGTGGACAGCGGAAGTTTCGGCTATAACTTTACCTGCACTGCTCTACCCAAAACGTGCATCAGGTACGCCCCTGTTTTAAAAAGAAATATCACCAAGACAAAAATGTAAACACACGCAGAAAATCACACCACCAACGCGCTAACATTGATAGCCGAAGCTGACGACTCCATGAATTCGTAAGCCTGGTCGACACCAGTCAAGTAGCACGTGAACACACACCTGGAGGACGCTGGTCAATCTTTTTTCGATGTCGACCTTTGAGGAGATGCATCCATGGATGAAGTTGCCGTCCAGAATTACCTTGGGTAGGTCCGTCGAGCAACAAAAGAGAGGGGGGGAAGCACGTAATTGGTGCACACATATGCATGCGCACCCGCATACACACGGACTCGAGTGCAAGGTAGCGGCCTTCGTAAACGTGTGCAGCTTTCTTCGGTTGCTACCGTTTCTGTCTTTGATCCGGAAAATAGGGTAGTCTCCCCCATGCCGCCCCCTCACGGGGTCCCAGTTAATGGCATTTAGAAGTATTTTGTGTTTTCAGCCGCACTGAGACTGACGTCCTTTCATTGGTCAGCCGGTTGTAGCGCGGGCGGTCGATGCTAACAATAAAAAATACACACGACACGAAACGCAGAAGGCAGATCAACAGATGAGCAACCTGACACTGCAACACACGTGCCACGGGGCGATCAAAAACAGCCAACGGCAGGTGTAAGCAGACTTGTGGTGTGCAGCTTATGCCCAACTGTGTTCCGTTCAGCACTGCGCGAAGGAGAGTGCAAGACACGGCACGGTTGACATGGCAACAACAACAACACCTTGAGTGGACCTGACACGCTTTTCAGATAAAGCGTAGCCGGGTGGCACATGACAAATGCACGGCCCCACACGCACCTGGCCAGGTTAAGGGGGGGGCGAGGGGACTTCCAGGATGGTAGCAGAGGACTCCTCGCACTCAGACTCATCCGCCACGAATGGCAGAATCATCTCTATGATTTCTTCGAAAAACAATCCAGAACGTTACCGCTAAGGCTTCGACGCGCACCCTTCGACTGCTTGCTGCGGTGTTATCTCGAACGGTGTAGTCTTTTCTGTGATCATTGTTTGCTAAAAGTGTGATCGGGACACTCCCTCCACACACTCAGACTGGCCTTCGCGAATGGCAGACCTATCGCTAAAAGATATAGTGTGTGTTGTGTTGGTTCGGTGTCGTGGTTGACAAGTAGGCTCCCAACGACAGACGACACCGTTCTGCACACACGAAGAGAACGCGTACTGCTGCGTACATGCCAGTGGGCGCCTTGCCATCCCTTTTCCGCGGTTGTCGTTTGAATCATCCGCCCGGTACACGCGGTAGACGCTACCACATAGGACAGCGAAACATGCGTTTACATGTCTACAATATAATGGCGCGTACAATTCGGGGAGTTCAGGCTGACGGTATCGGAGAAGAAGACGGAGACGCTCCTGATGCGCGCAAAGGAGAAGCAGACAACAACACCACCGCCCCCCCCGCCACCACCGCTGATCATCGAGGTGGCAGGGCAGGGGTATGCCCAGACGACTGAATACCGGTACCTAGGTGGCCTCGTCAACGAACATGGCAGCCTCACAGAGATCAAATACCCGAGCAGAGCAGCGTGGGCATGCGTCAGGAGATATGGCCAGGAGCTCTTCGACAGGCCGAAAGCACCGTTCCGACTGAAGACTCGCCTGCTCCAGGCCGAGGCGATGGAGGCACTGCTGTACGGCAGCATGACGTGGGCCCCACGTCAAGACCAATACCGGACGATGCGGACGATACACCACCGACTGCTCCAGCGAGTTATCGGTTACCAACGCAAGAAGGGCACCTACCGGCAGATTTCCTACGCCCAGACCCTGAAGAGGGTAGGGTGCCAGAGCATGGAAACCACTATCCGGCAACGGCGCCTGCTGTTCGCGGGAGCACTGGCAAGGCAGCCAGACGGACGACTCCCGAAACGGGTGATGCTTGGCGAACCGGTGGGGGGGGAGGGCCCGGGCAGGGGGAAACCGGAGCAAAACTGGCAGATGTGCCTGAAGGACGACCTGAAGATGTTCGAAGCAGTGCACGGATCTACGGACGCCGAACCATGCTTCTTCGGAGTCCCGGAAACAACTTGGATGGAAGCAGCGAAGGTGGACCGGGGGGTGTTGTGGCATACGGGGGTACTGCAGGGAGCTAAGAGGTTCATGGCCTCCTGGCACAAGAAGGAAGAGGAGGATAGCCGACAACGAGCGCTCAAACGAAACAAGAAGCCCGACAACAACACGGACACGGCAACAACCACGGGGGTGGGAGGGGTACAGCAGGCGGAAGAGACGGCGAGGAAAGGCAGGAAACGCGAAGAGGCGGACCGAGTGGCGCGAAACACCGTGCCGAACTCCTTGCTAGACTCATCCCCCCCCCCCCCCGGCACTGCACCATTGCACCAACCCCCCGCGAGCGATGACGTGCGTGGGCTGTCGCAAGTGGCCCGCTTTGTCTTGTGTTGTTTTGTGTCGTTCTGTTTGTTTGTTTGTTGTCTGTCGCTACGGCGTGTGTCTTTCTCTGTCTGTGTCTTTCTCCGTCTCTTTCCCTTCTCTCCATCTGCTCTCTTCCTTTTCTTTTTCCTCGTCTTTTTCTTTCTCCTTGTCCTTTTTCTGTCTTTTTCCAATCTAGGGTTACCTCGCATAGCGTGTAGAGGCGAGGGGAGTGGCCTAGACTATCTGTCGTTGACTTTTATTGGCTTGCGGACCCTTCGGATCCATTTTATTTTCGTATACCTTTTTTGGGTAAGTTAGCCTGTGACCATGGGAATTGATCCAGTCAAGTGTTGGACTAGTACGGACAGAAGAAGGTACTGGGCAGAGAGAACGGAACGGTTTTGGTTGTGAAGACAACAACAACAACAACAACAACAACAACAACAACAAGGGGTATCAGGGGTGCTCAGGAGCGTATGGTGAGAGTTCCCGTGTCGTGCTGAGGATCGCGCTACTTCCCCCCGTACATTTGCTGGCCTCAGATCAGCGTATTGTCAAGGGTCAACCGCAGCAGCAACTGCACATGGCGTCGTCTAGAAGGGTCGTCTGGAACGGGAGAAACAAACACTCTCGCTCCCTCCCTGCTACGAGCCATTTTCACTATTTCGCCGCATTGCGCGGCTCGCATTGGACCACTCTCTCCCTTCCTCTGCGACGCGGAATACACCAAGTGACATCGTTCACCGGGCTCATCTTTTTGTCCAGGAACTTACGAACCAGAAGATGGTTCCCGACCTGCGCTGTGTCTCTCTTCCTAACTCCCAAGGGACATGGTTGGTGGACTGGTGCCCGCAGCAAAAACGGCCGCCCGGCGGGACTGTCAACTTTCGTCTCGACATCTTTCGTACCAAACATACCTTGTACGGAGCAGAGATCCCGTAGACGATTCTGAAGAAGCGGAGGTGCTTCCGGTACTGCTTCGCCCGCGTGACCCTCATGGCGTGTGGTGTATGGACGTGTGGACGTGTGGACCAAAGAGCCAGTGATGCAGCAGTTCCACAGAGGTGGAACGGCGAGTGATGCGCAGATTGTAGTGAACATTGTTTGTGTACCCCCCCCAGTCCATTTCACGGAGTGCCCTCGGCAGGCACCGGCGCCGTGCCCGTGCTGTGCACTCGTTTCGAGAGGAGCAGAAAGAGCTAACAGCAGACAACATGCCGGAATTCCACTTCATGGTGAGGGGGTGCCTGCCTTGCACGAACGTGTTCTGGTTCGGTCGTTTGGTTTTCTCGTGGCGGCAAAAAGTTGCTGCCACGATATGAGAAAAGAAGCGCGTCCTTGCAGATACATGCTTGTGTAGCGCAGCAGCAGTCTCGAGTCCGTTCCACATGCCAGTGCTGCAGGCACAAGTGGCCTGGCACGCAAGCAGGTCTCATACAATTTAAATATTCCCGTGTGGTTGGCTTCTTCTCGTCGTAAATAGTGGGAAGAGCACGACCTCATTGCTCGCGCGCGCAATCGGCGAGAAGTGAGTCTCTCCGCCACTGCCCGTTGGGCGTAGAGCCAACCAGCGACCTGCGGGCAGAGACAGCTGTAGCGGAGAGGGAAAGCGATCGGTGTGGTTTTGGTGGTGTGTTGTTGAACCTCTCCTGTTGAAGGAAGGAGACAAGGCGACCCTCTCTCGTCGACAGCTCTCGTCGGGCCCCGCAGAACATTATTCAATGTTTCCTACTATTTTTTCTTTGGAAAGGATTCTAGGTTTTACGGAGCACTCGTTTACCACCTACCGTGACCGCGTGATGATGTCCAACCGTTGTGCTGCGTTTCTCGTTGCGTTGTTGTGCGACACTCAATTTCCGCACGATAAAGTCTCGCGTTTTGGCTGCTTCATGCCCACACGTTGCTGTTTACGCTGCTGGCCCATTCTAACATTCCGTTCCGATTGTTGGTGCTTTTTTGCGAACCCTCAAAGACCGCGATTTCCAACCCCTTTGCAGTATGCGCAGTACTGCTGTTGCACAAAAGCATTTTGGATGGATCTGCATTAGTTTTTGCAGCAATGTTTCTGTACCCGATCGGACGCAAGTCCTTCCCCGCGCGTGGCTGGTGCGCCCAGGAGCCTCACTCGTTTTCTTTTTTCTTGTTTTTTTTTTGTTCCCTTTTCCAGGAATCCGACTGGGGGATCCACGCCAAGCGAGGCGGGAGCATCTGCACCGCCACATCGCTGGCGTGCACGGTGGTCGGGTTCATCTTCTGGCGCTGGTTCGGGGCCGTCCTCTCTCTCGCGATCGGCCTTCTCTTGGCCACGTTTGAAGTGCCCTTCGTCTACAAATGTTTCGAGGTGATTTTTTTGTTGTTGTTTTTTCCTCCCGGAGTCACGCACTGTTTTTGTACGAGCATCCTCGAAAGCAGTTGTGTGCATCTCCCTCGTGGAAGCTGCTGTGGCTGGATGGCACACCACGATCAGAGGGGAGGCCGACAACAACACGGCGATCAAGCCACTGAGGCAGCGGCATCCTCTGTACCACGGAGACCCTGTATGTTGTACCCCCTGTGGGGGGCGGGCCTCTTGCACAGCTTCGACTCCAGTTTCGCTTGTACGCACTCCTAAACAAATTGGCTGCACAGTAAACGCTTGAAGATGGCACTGCTTCAGAGCCAGCGTGACGAAATTATCCGTTCACGATGTTCCCGGTGCATCCATAACGGATGTATCGGTGTGGATCCTGCAATAATCGCCCTACTGGGGGGGGAGGGGGGTCATAGTCGTGCATGCCATATTGTAGTCGTTATATCATTGGCGTCGCATCCCTCCAAAGTCGGGATGGAGCACGCCGGGTTTTCACGGGACCACGCTAGGACATCACCAAGCGCGAAGCGACGTGAGGTACTCGGGGAGTCGCATGGGGGCGGTAATTCGCCTAGTGAACGGGAGCAAGGGGAATGTGGGAGCTATGCTTGACAGAGTACAGCGGCACCAAGCCTTGAGCACCGGTCTGACATGTCAAGTCTGAGGGCCCTTGAGTGACTCCAGTAACACGAGGCCGAAGCGTCGTCTACGCGTTTTGGGCCCAATCGCACAAGGCACTGCAAAGTCTTGCTGACAGGAACGAGCCATGGGCGCTGGATCAGCGCAAGTAGCCGTATCTCGTCGCAGACCAGAGTGCAACATGCGGCAGCATCCGCTTTCTTGCCGAACGTGATGACTCCTTCTCTTGCCTTCCTCCCCACCTTTCTCTCTCTAGCGCCATGCTTTTCGGTACCCCAAGGCGTGTCCTACCTGTTCCTCTTTGTTTACACTCCTGCTGCACGCCGCCCTCGTTCCCGTCACCCCGTTTTGGACCCAAAGCGTCCGGCCCCACAGCCGTGCCGACGCTGGCGACTATCTTAAACGAGACCGGAATGCTTAACTTGACTGGCCCTCTTTGTTTGCGCTCCTGCTGTACGCCGCCCTCCCCGTGCCCTACATCCAAAACGTGTGTCCCACAGCCGTGCCGACGTCTGGAGACGATCTTAAACGACACCCTGAAGTTCAGTATTCCGGCCGTTCGCGCGGTCCTGTACTTGTGCCTCGCCATCGTCGCCTTCACATCAAATTTGCTGAACGTGAGTCCTCAACACACACGTATGTTTATGTTGTCGTAAGGTTTTGTCTCTTTCTTGTACCTGGTGTGTGTAGAGTTTTCCTGTTGCCGCGTTTTTAACAGCGAACTCCGGGAGAGATAGGGCGGGGGGGGGGGGGGCGGGGGCATCTTTGAGCCGCATCGTTTTCTTCTTCGTTGTTTTCCCTCAACCCGCGTCCGCCTGAATGTCAAAAACATGGCGCAAAGTCTTCGGTAGTTTTGTTTTTTGGGGTGCGTGTCGACTCTAGACAAAGGTAGGAAAATATTCATGCAAACCGTTTTCACTTGTTTTTTCTCCGATGCCAGAGTCACACCCGGGGGAAGAAGGTTTCACGGAACCCCCTTGCCCCCCTCTGCCCTGACGTTGCCTTGATCGCTTCGTGATGGCCCTTTCCGCTCCTTTTTGTTGGGCTGTCTCTTTTCGTGCCGGGCGCCTTTGGGCCGCGGGTCCGTCTTTCTCTTGACGGTTTTTCCTTCCCAGATTGTACTTGGGGTCCTGCTACTTCTCACGGCGATACTCTACGCGTTTGCTCAGGTGACCACTTTGATCTCTTGCGCATGTGCCTCTACGTCCACACCTGCTGTCCTGGTTGTCGCTTCGTCGGAACGGCCAACGGTAGCTAGGGTCTGGTGGTAGGGCGGCGGGTTTCGTGAGAGGCGATTGCGTACCGTTGAGACTTGTGCGTGCTCGGTTGGGGTGGAGATTGCTCAGGTGCGTTTTTTCTTCTCTTCGTTTCTATCTCTCTCTCGATCTCTACCCCTCTCTCGATCTCTACCCCTCTCTCTGTGTGTTACTCATCCCGTCTTTCTCTCTTTTGGGTGTGTCTCTCTCAATCCACTTGCGCAAACAAACCCGCCAGGCTTGTGTGTTGTGTACCGCACTTGCCCCCCAAACCTAGAGCCCCCCCCCCGCGTGCCGTTTCCCAACGCCCTGCCGTGCCTCGCTCGTGCACTGAAAAAAAAGATCGTGGGGTCGGCAATCACGGACACAACCACGGTGCCCTCAGACGCGGCGCCAGCCGACGGTCAGACTCCTTTCGGAACCTTCACATGAGAGGAGATGATGGATGATGGATGATGGATGGGCATTCCCAAGCCCGAACGGTTGTGTGGAGAGATTCAACCCCCGGGATTTACCTCCTTTGACGTTTTTTAAGGCAGGGGGGTTGTACACGTCATGCCGGAATTTTCCTCGTCTGTTTCAATGTATCGATTCACGGGTGCTTTTAAGGGTGCGCTCGTGCGGCGGGTGTTAAGCTGGGATGTGATTGTAGGTCCGGAGCCTTCTTCTTGAAGGAGGGAATCGTCTTGATCTTGAGAGACGGGATGCGGTCGCGGGCACCGCGGAATAAAGTAAAGCGTTGCTTGTGCTTGGCTTAGCCCTCCCCCGATCAGGGGTTGTGCTGGGCGCTTTTCGCCCGCCCACCCCTCCCTGAGAGGACAATGGGGGAGGGGCAGCATGATATAAGGCTTGAAAAAAGGAGGCTTGGTAGATTAGGTTCCACCCTTCGGGTCCCAAGCGCTCCCTGTGCTGTCGGGGTATCCTGGTTGAGGTGCGGTGCTTCCGCAAGGTTGCTTGGATCTAGAGATCGTGTGTCCATAGCCCCCTCTCGGTGCTTTCTCCGGTAATAACATACTTAAAGTGCTTTTTCTGTTGGGTTGCACTCACTGCTGCTGCTGCAGCTTCCACAGAATGTCGAGAGATCATGGCAGGTAAACCTGTATCGATGCATCTCCCAAGTCCGCACATCGCTATGTATCTTGCACGTCCGTCCTCTGATAGCACTCATTTATAGGGAATTCGGATGGGATGCTATCATCATCGCCCTTTCGACGGGCCACACGCCACTTGGAAGTGTTGAAAAGGGCGCGCGTAATGGCCATGTAGATTCACAGGTGGGGACGACTTCAATACCGCGCATCGTGTAGTCAGTGCTTGAGGATTCGGGCAACACGTGGGAAAACCTCGGGTGTTGTATGGCTTCAAAAACAAACGTGTGCAAGAAGTACCTTCGTGAAAACACGCGGTTTTCGACAACGGGAGCGCGGACCAGAACAACGGCGCACCATGCACACGTTCACCAGCATGCACCCGATTCGACAACGGGAGAAAACAACACAGACGTTTTCCCGTTCCGTGTGTGTGTTCAATTTGAAGGTCGACATTGCAGGTTAGGCAAGAAGTCGCAGTATCCAACATTATCATTAGTTCATGCAAACAAAGGGGCATTGTACATAGTAAGGCCGCAGTCGTTGACATCGATCTCCCATTCGACACCCGTTTCCATGATGCCCCCCCCTCTGCGGGATTCTACGCATGGCAGGATGGCGGTCCCGGCCGCCCATCGCCGCAACACGGACGGAAGGCAAAACAAAACACGTTCCAATAAAACGAAACCACAATAGTACCACTTTATTCCAGGCCCTTGCAACACCACTGGCTGGCATCATGGTCACTACTTTCAGGGCCGTATCATGGCGGACACCGGGCAACGACAGATCCAGCCAAAGAAATGAACACTTGGTGCGAAACGCCCTTGCCACCCCCTGCGGTCGTGTGCCTCTCACGTATGGCTGTTCGATGGTCTCTCGGCCACCTCCTCGGTCTCAGCGCTTTTTTTTCTTCGTCAAGGGGCGAGTTAACACGTCCACAAGCTTTGTGAGACTTTACCCAAGCTCCTGTGGCAAAAAAGCGGCACGGCTTGGGTAAAGCTCCCGGCGACTATTTAGTCATTCTTCATAAGGGACGAGAAAACGTCCACAAGCATGTCGCCTCGCAATCATCAGCTCGTTCTTCCAGGTGATAACCCAGTCCGTGCCGATGACAGCCTCCGCATCCAACGCCCGCGACAGGCTAAAGATAAGCGGACACACACCTACACCTACAGTACGTATGGTACGTATGCATTCCGCGAAACCCGGCTCAGATTCCATTCCGGCAAAAATAAGCGCCTCTAGTACAAGTAGAAACCCTCAACGTTGACCGGCAAAACGCATGCCACGTACTTCTCACAAAACCCGACTCAGTTCCACTCCCCAGGCAAAAAAATGTAAAGATAAACGCCTCTTGTACAAGTGACAAAACCTCAACGTGGCGACATGAATTTCGTCTGAAAAAGCCTTGGAAGCTGGTGAGGATTTGGCCGCAAGGGAGCTTAGGGCCTTGGTGTGGGAAAAAAAAAAAAAATGCAAAGAATACTCCGAGTGCTAGCACAATGCGGAGCCTCACGCGTCTGGTCGCTGCCTCCTGTGGCCGAAGAAAAATAATTTACACCTAGAAACACGCAGGCCCATACTCGGGAACGGCGCATGCCGAACCCGAACTCTACAGGGGCAACCGCAGTGGATTCCCAAGGTAAGCATGTCGGTTGCAGCAGGTAGGAACCAAAAGCAAATGGGGTTGTGATGACGCTAATCCCTACTATTATCTGGTTGTTATTTACATCTCGATGCCGTTCACGCAGGCCCCTCCCAAAACAACACAAGGCCGTTCAAGCCACCAAAACCCCCTCCTAAGCGCGCATGCGAAATTCGTGAGGATGATGCTGCTGTGAAGCGCAAGGCATACGCAATCAATCCATGAATATCAGCCCAGAACCGCAGGCCATCTAGACAGCACAAGTGGTACAAATATATGTAAAAGTTACATCTTCTCTCGGTGTCGAGGGCGGCAGACGACGGGTGTGGGAAGGGTTGCCGGTGCCGTTGGGTTACGCCGCCGCCTGTTGCGCAACGACGATGACCACACGCGGGTAAACAGCAGGATGGACGGACGGATAGTTAACTCTCTGGTCCAAAGCGTTGCGCATAAAATTCTACAGATAAAGCCTCGACGGGAGCCTATTTAGTTAACTCTCTGGTCCAAACCGTTGCGCGTAAAGCTCGGCCTTGACGCAAGTTGAAAACAGATGGCGCATGTGACGTGGTGGGGCAGGAGCGAATACGAACGAGGGCGGTAGTTGCCATGTGAACGGCATGCCTCGCTCACCATACAGCAAGCACTACCAAGCAGGCGCTGAATGTGCGCCGGGTCTCCCTTTTCGGCCAGGCGCCCGCTGGATGTACACCGGGGTGCGATCGTTGGCCCGCATCACTCTTGTCTAGAGACGGGGCCCTCGCCCCGACACACGACACAGCAGGGAGAAAGCAAAAAAAAAAAGGAGCCAAGCCCAACTACGCAGCACCTCGTTCGTCGCCCCCTTCGACCACCCCGCTACAAATGTCTCAAATATTAACATACGGCGCGGCGTTCGTACGCGTCGAGGGTCAAGGGCAGCGCAAGAGCACCACCTCTGCACAAAGGTACAACGGCGGTTCGCGTTCAATCATTCCCATGTAATGTACTCCATAGGTTTGTTCTGATACGCACTTTGTTCATGAGGTCAGTCCTCGACGCGCTCACGCTGGAGAGGGTCATACACCATACGCTTGTTCCTACCGAACGTTAACGAGCGGTCACACCCAGCAGTCTCTCGCAGCGCTCTTACGTTGGAAACGGGGCTCTCGCCGCCCCTGGTGGCGATGAAGCTCAGGAGGTCGACCCGGGTCACGACGCCGGTGATGACGGTGACGGTGCTGTACGTCCCGCCGGTGTACGACCGCTGCTCCGTGCACACGAGTGCGAAGTGGTCGCGGTCGAACCAATGGGCCAGCTCCTCCAAGGGCGTTTGCAGCCCCACCTGCCGTCGTCGGGGGTTAGCGAAGCAAGCCGACCCGCCGAGCGAACGCAGGAACTCAGACTTGGGAGCAGGTCGTGATGTGTCACAAAGAGAGAAATCTCCGCCAGCAATATGGAACACCATACCACAAAACGACAGGGGCGTGGGGTGTGTGGTTACGGTCAATTCTGAACGTGGATTCCGAATGCCGCGCTAAACGTCGCTGTCCGAACGTTGTTTTCTCAAACCCGCCCCCATCATTGTTTATTGCGACAGATTCGAGGCATGTGTGCCTTCGTCAGTGTTTCCACAAGAGTGTCAGAGGTATGTCAGCAGGTAGGGTAGGGTTACGACGAGCTTGTCAATTCCATACACGATAAGGTGATGCACATTCACAGGTCGTACGAGACCGAGATGGTCTTAATCTTGTTCATTCACATACTGTCGCCAGCCGTTTCGAACACTCCGCTTGAGATGAGCATCCTGAACATGAATTAGCCCGGTAGACATGTTGGACACGGCTGAGGTACGACAGACACGGTGGACTGCATGCTTGCCTCTTCCCAACAGCCCTTGCATTGGGCGTGTGCGTGCCCTAACACGTGCCTTACGTGACTACACAACGCTGCTCCCGGCAGGCTGGGGTGCGAGAGGGACCCTTTCGCTCGCCTTCTTGAACTGCTTGTACATGACGCTCTCGACGACATCCTCCGGCTGCACCCTCCCGTTCAGGAGGCAAGCCATCAGGTTGCCCTCCGTCACGACGCCCATGATCTTGTTGTCCTCGGACACAACCGGCACCATGTCGTACCCCTGCTTCTTGAGGATGTCGATCGCCTCCTGAGTCAACACAATTCAGACGGGGGGTCGGGAGGACACAAAAAAAAACGGCGGCGCGTCAAAAAATAGTGCTACGTGTGGTGGGAGTAAAAGGTGCGGTAGTGCCGGCAGCCGCGCGCGTGGCGTGTGTGCAGAGGAGTGATTTCAAGACATGCACGGGAAAAGGGGGCTACGGTGCATGCCCTAAAAGGAAGCCACGGCGTGCTTCTTGGTGTCCAGACCAAAGTAAGAAAATTCTTCTGGAAGACGGAAACAACGTCAGAAAGGATGGCGAGCACGCCGAAGCTTTCCGATCGGTTTGCTCCACCCACGCCGTGGCAGCTAGAGTGAAGCGTGACGTTTGGCTCCGTTCCACAAGGAGAGGGGGTGCGCTCTTCAAAACAAAAAACGAGGACGAAAAGAGGACTTCACCCGCTGCAACAATAGCACAAGCACGCCTCCCCCCGTAGAACATCCTTCCACACTACCCGGATGCCCGGCGCAAGAAACTGGAGGAAGGCTTCCAACATATAAGTACCTGGATGGTTACGCATGGCGAGACGGTCAGTGGCGTCTGCAGCTCCAGCTCCGACACCCTCTTGCTAGCCCACCACGACCTCGCCATGCGCTCGCTCCACTAATCCCACGAGGCGGTGGCGGCGGCGGCGGCGACGACAGGGACGCAGGACGCAAAACAGACGGACCAACAAGAAAAGCGGAAAACGGGGAAGGTGGGTGGGGTGGGTGGGTGGGTGGGGGTGAAAAAAAAAAAGAAGAGTTAGTCACGGCGGCGTGCCGCGCACAAGGGAGCGGTCTCCAGAACAAGCGACGAAAGCAGTCTCCAGAGCCAAAGCAGCCACAAGAACAATCCAATATCCACTTGCGTGCTCGGCTTGCGGTCTCCCACGTTTCGCTCTCACGTTCATCCACGGCGGCTCATGCGCAACGCGTCTGCCCTGCGCGTACAGCACCGTGGCATGGGGTTGTCCCCCCGGGGGGAAACACAGAATTGCTTGTCGACGTCTTCTTGTTCCGGCGGCCGGTTGCGTTGGAATTGCAGTCAACACAAAAGACACCCAAGATACACGCACACAAAACACACACACTACATAGCACAAAGACCTATTCGTGCGTTTTTTTGTTCCGCCGCATGTACGCAAGACCCACCCCTCTCCTGACCGGCCAGTCCGCAACACGCTTACAGTGGCAGTGGCCAATGCCATCAAACCACACAACACACAGGCACACCCAAACGCAGCGCAAAAAAAAAAACACAGGCTACAAAGAATATCAATTGACGCGCCTCACCTGGGAGCACGTCGCGGCGAAGCCCTGTTCGTACATCCACTCGTCACTCAGGTACTTGGTCATGTAGTTCCGGACGCTGTCCGCAAGGATGACGACGCAACGCTTGCCCGGCCCGAGCCGCTGCCGCTTCGCCTCCTCCACCGCGGCGTAGACGGCCGCGCCCGACGATCCCCCGCACAGCAGCCCCTCCTCTCGGATAAGGCGGCGCGACATCATGAACGACTCCTGTGTTTCATTCATTCGCACGACGGACGCCAGATTGGTTATACAAACGACCCATGAGTCATTCACACGGACCGTGGGTTTTGGATAAACTTACGATCTATCTCCTGTGTCTCATTTACACAGACGTTGCTATGGCTACACTAACCGACACATATGTTTCAATCAAGCGGACGTTGGTTTAGATATACTTACGCCTCCTGTGCTTCATTCACACGGGCAGGCGTTCGGTATACGCCTCCTGTGTCCACACGAACATTCCTCTTGATGTTTCATTCGCACGGAAAATTGGTTTGGTTTCCTCCGTTGAATACAACTGCCGTGATCGTTTCACACGGACATCGCTTTGGTTTAATGAACGGGTTCTGTGTGTTCATTCACAAGGACATCGCTTTCGATACAAACAACGACCTCCGTGGTCACACGGACATCGGTTTGGTTATGCTCACGACTACTGTGTCCATTCAAATGGTACCGCGTTCGGAATTTCACGACTCCGTGCTCATTCACACGGATACGCTTTGGGCAGGTGTTAGCGGTGATTAATGGCTACGGATATTTTGGGGGGCATTCTTTGTGGGAGGAATGTACGGTAACGACAGCATAGATGGTACACAAACGACACGCATAGTAGAGGAAGATTGTGAGGTAGGTCTCACTCATGCCGTCGATCCACAAGCACTGAGCACCAATCAACCCGTTCTCCTCTGGCGAACGAGCCTCTGTCAAGGAACAAGTGTACTCGTTCTGATATTTGCAAATGTACTCTTTCTTCATCGCACCTCAAAATACCTGCCCTGGTCACAGCTTTTTGGGAGCATATTAGTATCTGTCATGAGTGATTTCGACGACGAAGTACTCGTGTTCGTTCATGCGATTCGATAATGCTCCACTATCCGTCGTCATGATGACGTCACCTTGTCGTTGCTCTTGACCCACAGGTCTGCCAGGTTTCTGTCCAGAACGGTCGGGATGAAATCGTAGCCGATGCCCTCGACCTTGTTCGTGTCGATCGTGGAGAAAGGGAGAGAGAGGAAGAGAGAGGGAGAGAGACGAAGAGAGAAGACCGAAAAACAAAAGAAACAAGGACGATCCAAAGGAACAGCGGTGAGTCAACAAAAAAAAATAACAGCGGCAAAAGGGAGAGTACCCAAGTTCGGCGTTCTGCAGCCCATCTTGACGTCGAACAACGAAAACTGAGGGAGGCTGTGCATTAGCTACCGTAGGTTGCAAGGATATCGCACACCCTGAACCGATTTTCGAAGCTCGATTTCTCGGCAGGAAAACCAGTAGTGACGGTGCCGAAAATGGCGGCGTTGGAACCGTCTGGTCAAGAGATAGCTCTCCTAAACATTCCTTTGATTTCGGCATCCTCGTCGTCGTGGAGTAATCGAGCTTTGAAAATCGGTCCCGGGGGTGTGATATGTCACGCAACCTACGATATTTATCGTGCACCGTACATCATCGTCGATCTCGTCGGAAACTCATGGACGCAACAAGAAACATGCAGGTGTTCCCCCCCAAAAAAACTCGAGTCACAAGACCTCCGTACAGCCCGAGATCCCCTGCGCCGCCCAACCCTCGCACATGCGCGGTGCACACCTCGAACGAACGTCCACGTCCAGACGCTCTACACCTCGAAGCAGCATGTACACTCCCTCAGGCATGCAACGCCCTCGACAAACCGTCTAGCTAGGCAGTACCGCACCAGCACAAACCTTGTAGGAAGATAATCGCCCCTCGTCGTTGAGGTGCTCCGGCAGAGCCAGGATCGACCCCACCGGGTCCACTCCCACCAACACCACGTCGGGACACCTCTCCTGCCGGGTACATCGACAACGCGCGCACGAGGTTCAGAACCAGCGTAACGGAGAAGGTGGGGTGGTATACAACGTACACAGAGATAGCTGGACTTCGCGGCCGGACCATCGACCACACATGCCTCCGGGCACGGAGGTGTCAGCCATTCTCGTGTGCGGAGACACCATAAGACTATCAAAGGGGCATTCCACTATGATTCCACGGAAATTGATGTCGTAGGGGGCGCAAAAAATGCGAGGACGTAAGTATGGGGTCGAGCAGAGGCCGAACAGCGGGGGGGAGGGGGTAGATCGAAACGCGTTCTTTGTTGCAACGCTCGTATAGGTACGATCCACGCCTCCCCTTCACCGCTTTCCCCTCGCCCTTTGGATAGTGATACGTACAAAGCCGCACCGGGTTGCGGAGACCGACACCCAAGACCGACAACCCACCCCGATCACAACCGCCGATCCTACCGACAAACAAGGGTCCGCGTTGGCGGGTTGGGGGCAAACCCAGTCAAGCTCGAGAGATGGGATCTAAGACCGAGAGAAGTCATCGGCCAACAATGCTAACTTCCCCCCCCGTCTCTCTTTCCTTCCACCTCGTCTTGTCACCTCTTCCACGCATTCCGCCCCGGCCCCTCCTCCCGCCGAAGTGCCAACAACTCCCGAAACAGTACGCCCCAACAAGCGCACGCTCCAGCATGAACCAGCCTTACGCCACCTTCGAAACTGGTCAAGCCGACGTGTACTCACAAACCCACCCTGTCAAACTCCCGACTTCCAACGACCTTACACCCAAAGCCAGGTCAGACACCTCAACCGCTCTGTCGATCCCCGACAAGACTTTACCACACCTCATCAGCCAAATCGCCGTCTTGGCCTGCTACACTCCCAACAGGGGACCCTCTACGCAGCCTACAGCAGTACCACATACAATACCTTCAGTTTCCGACCCACGCCCGTCAGCGTGCCCCCCGTCCCTGCCGCGACGACCAGCATGTCGACTTGGCCGTCGCACTGCTCCAGAATCTCCTCCGCCGTGTTCTCGTAGTGGGCCATCGGGTTAGAGATGTTTGCGTACCTGTGCGAAGAGCGGGGGAGGGGCAGGGGTCGAGTTTAGGGCGAGAGGAGCGGCTGGATAACGCTTGTCTAGAACGCTGTGGGGGGTCCCCAAAGAAGGCGCTCTGAATAAGGCGGTCACCAAATATAAGGCGGCGGGCATGCACGGAATAATCACATTGTTCTAAATTACTGAAGTAAGGCTAAGGCGGCTACCCCATATTAAGGCGATCATTGCCAGCCGCCCCACCAACGTCTAATTCGGCGACCCCAACTGTTCCCCTCTGCCCCATAGTTCACAACGCTCACATGCCTTCGGGGGGGGGGGGGAGGGGGTTGCCGAGAATTCTTGTTGAGAAGAGCGTTTGTTCAAGTCCTGAAAGGAACCACAGCTTGGCCACATGTACACATGCGCCACAAGCGACGACAACGATATCGATACGATCTCGAAGAGGGGAGGTCAATACCCAAGGCTCAAGGATCTGCAAGGTGAAGAGCGCGGTCAACAAAAAGGTACAGTAGGCACACTGCGCCAACAACAGGTACTCCGCAGCGAAGAAAACTCCAGGGGTTGCATAGGGCAAGACACAGAGGCACAGCAATCGTAGCTCCAAGCCCCTCTCTCTTACGGAAAAGACACACGTGCACAGCGCAGCTTAGCACCGACACCGGTAAAAAAAGTTCCACTCACTGATCG